TGATGATTCAGTCTGCCATATATTTATCGTATAAATAGTACATGTATGGAGTATATTATTGTTGTATAAATGTTATATATAATATGCACTTTTATATTACTATCATAGTGCATCGTTTATAAATGATATATGTATATTATATACTATCAAAAAATTTAAAAAACCGAAACTGAAAACTGAATATACTAAGCATCTGCTCATACTTGTGGCTTACTTCCTGTCCATTCCAGTTGTTATAGCAAATATTAATACAAATAATAAAGATTGTAACAGATGAATGAATATCAAATTCATAAACAATACTATGCATGGTCTGTACATGATCTTGCTTCTACTTTTATTAGTTCCCTTTCCTTCATCTTTATTTAGCATGCGAATCCAAAAATAAATAACCAATTCTGAGAACCACCAATGTTTTTTTCAACCAAACTGTACGAATATTGTTAGGGATGGTGTATTTCACAAGCCTGAAGTAAATTTGCTTTCCACAGAGCAGGAAAAATTATGCGAATTGGTATTTTGGTTCGCAAGCGAATTGATTTTCTGAGAGTAGAGTCGAGAGATTTTGAGAGAACCTAGTTCAAAGATTCGGGCAATAGAGTCGATGAATTTCAAGTGAAAATGGATAGTTTAAATATATCCATGATTAGAATATATTTTGGGTAAAATGAAGAAAATAAGAGGGCAGAAGCAACTGTAATTTAGGTTAGAAGATAAGAAGAAAGAGAGAGTATGACAGATTCCATGATTTATGCCTCATTAATTGTGTGCATAATCTATACAGTATGCTAATATTGTAAAAAAATCTTCCATTTTGGAATAAACAAAAAGTAATACTATTATTTTCTTAAATATTCTGTAAAAAATGCTCAGCCATGTAGTTTTCTCTTGTTTGACTGCTATAAAAGTGAGCCCATAATTCTTTGTCACATATGGGCCATTTGTATCTCCATTTACAAGATTTTACGATTGGTATTAGTTTCTCCATTATTTCGGATTTTACTTGTTTTACTGGATTGAGAATTAAGATGATCACTTCGGTTAAACCACTTTCATCGTCTGCGTTTTGCGAAAATTGACCTCCACATATACTTTCTTTTTGTTCGTATTCCATCAAACAAGAATAGAGTTTTCCTCGAGAGACAAGGAAGGGAAGAGATAAATTTCATAAATGATCATATAATTATGTCTTATTTTCATCAAAGTCAACTCTATTCGTAACACAAAAACCGCAAAGCTTTTATAATTAACGAAAAAGTCACAATGCCGAAAACCCCAATCTTCCGATGCATTAACCTATTTTTAATCTAAAATATCCAATCCAAATGAAATAAGAACCCGACCCGACCTGATCCAATTGAACCAAAATACTATACTATACTATTGAAGCGGGAAAAATCAAACTTTGATCCCTTATTCGTGACTTTGTCCCTTAAGTTCAAATACCAAATTACCAATCTATCACATACACAGTTGAGCTCATCACTGCTAAATCGTGTGCAGGAGATTCACCATTAGTTCTACTTCATATAGTAACCTCAATCAAGACTCTCAATATTTAAAACATACCACAAGATAATTAAAACATAATTAAACAAATAAAATTGTATCTCTGTAACGGTCCAACTTCTTTTAGCATATTTAACTCAATTTACTTAAACTAAAGAATATTAACATTAATATTGCATCCATCTCTGCGAATATGCTTTCAGCACTGAATATCAACTTTAGAACCAATTTACTCGATTTAGCACTTTTTACAAAGGAATCTGCGTCATGTGTCATGATAAATATCAACTTTCTCAGATTGAGCAAATATTGGCTTTGGAATTAGATATTTTCATGATTAAAGTCCCAGGTATTGACCAAACCGCCAGAGGATAAACCTTTTTAAAAAAAATGGGGAGAGTAATGTGAATTTGGATGTTGTCTTATATAGCACTTTACTTTTCTCTTCATTGACGATGTAGATATTTGGAAATTTTACCTGCTATAACAAAGGCATATATCCTATTTATTATAAATCAAAATAATTTCAAAATGTTATTTTCTATAGCTACCTTTTATATTTTATAGCAAAATAATTATTTATGATATATACTACCATTGAGGCATGAAATAAGGCATGAAATACGCTATTTATGTTTTTCCTCTCTCTTAGAGAGCTACACATGCCTATTTTAAGGTGATTGCCATTACAGTATTCATGAATACATGGCGCGAATACATGTGAATAGATGCGCATACAGCTGAACTGCCCTGATTTTAGGCGTTTTTTACTGTTGTATTCATGAATACAGCAACGCGAATACATGTGAATACATGCGCGTACAGCTGGACTGCCCTGATTTTAGGCGTTTTTTGCTGCTGTATTCGTGAATACATGGCGTGAATACATGTGAATACATGCGCGTACAACTGGACTACCCTGATTTTTAGGCGTTTTTTGCTGCTGTATTCATGAATACAGCTGCGCAAATACAGCGAATACATTATCATAGCAACTGAATAGAGGTAATTATATATATGGCAGCTATAGAAAATTAATAACCAATAAACAATAATGGTTTGTGAAAATTCCTCTAGAAATTTTGGTAAGGTATATGCATCCCTTTTGCAAAAGCTTATCATCTTATAAGCCCATTAATCCTTCTTCTCGACCCATTCTTATCATTAGTCATATATGGGTGTCAAAGGTGAGCTCATGAACAAGAGGAAAAAGAGAGAAATACCTCAAAGAAATTAGTACTAAATATTGGTTGAAGGGTTAATACATAATCAAATATTAATATCAAGTAGGATATGTCATTACTCTTAGGACGGCTAATTAGTCTATGTATGACTAGCTAATTAGTCTCCAATAATCTTGTTTTCTTAGTTATTACATGCACTTTCTTGTATAACCATTTAAAATTTTAAGAGATCATTTGATAGGGTGTATAAGAATAGTACTGAATAGAGTATCTTAGTAATGCTGGAATTATTTCTTATCCGATGTTTAATTTGGTTTATTAAAAATAACATGCATTGCGTAGGGTATATACATGCTTATCCATGTATTAAAAATCATAGTATTACTAATTCCATAGTTTGATGTGTAGTAGTATTACTTATACATTGGTTGTAAAACGCTATCAAGTAAGGAATTTATAAAGCAAAGTTAACATATTATAGTATTATTTTCCCCTAATGCATCCTACCAAACGATCCCTATTAGTCTTTAATGGACGAATGAACTGAACACAGAGTAGTGGTACTTCCAATACTGACTTAAATATGAGACGAAATCTTTCTAAACTAAGACAAAATTTTTCTGTTAATTAAATAATTAACATAAACTCTTTTAAAAAGAACAATAGAGAAGTGCTACAATAGTTAATAGGATCAATGGGGGCCTCATTTTGTCTGCTCCTTTGTGATTGATGTAACTATAGCCAGCTTTGCACCGTCACGTCCTATCAATATAGTGCTACAAATATAATTTTTAATTTTTTATCATTTAATTATTTTATTTCATAATTAAATGTGAAATGGGACTTAAAGTTTTAAATAAAGTATTAGTATAAAGGACACATATTGGCCATTATACTGGGTAGTGTTTGTGAGGTGAATGATTGATCGAATATGTCCAATAACGTGCATTGATTATATTGATCAGTATATTATCACATGGACAGTCTAAGGAATTTTTTAAATTAGTTGATTAGTTTGCTTTTGTTTTCTTGCCATGAAATCATAGGCTCCAAACGTAAAAGATAAGATTCAATCCTAACGCTGTTCCTCTTGTTATCTTTAAATTTCACATATAAAATAAAAAGGTTATATATATTTATTTTGTTCTATTTAAGAAATTAAAAGAGGTAGAATTTAAAGGCATCATAGTGTAGAAAACAAGAATCCAGAACTTCAATTATATTCCTGTTTTCTTGTGAAACTTAAGAAATTATCTTATTATCACAAATGAGTATGTATTAAATACATTTATCTAAGTTTTGTGCCTAAGTTTTTGTGGGCAATATTAAGCGACACATATGCTAGTGAAATACTATAACAGATATTCAACAAAATAATCAAGTTGCGTGCAAATTGATCTGGACACTACCATTCAAAAAAATAAAAACTTTTTCTACAAAATTGAAGTAGTCAAAGATAAGTGAGTACAAAGAAAAGGATTATTGACAGGGCAAAGGAGGTCAAAGACATGTTTTTAATTATTGTGTAGGGATTAAGTGATATTTTGTGATATTGAGGGGTGTAATTTATATTTTCGTAAAAAGACAATTTCTAAAACAGCCCCACGTGCTGGGAAGTGGTCTCTCAAGTCTCAATGATTGGTCACTCACGAGGCATCGGTGGTTATCCACGTTGATCGCCCTCAAGTTAGAACTAAACGATGGACAAAACGGTAATTTCATTTTATGAAAAAGATTAGTAACATGGCATTCGTTCTGTAAATAAGAATTAGTTTTTGGGGATATAATGGCATTTAGTATAGAAAATATATTATAATTATTTTCTTTCTTTCCTAAGTTGGTTTTAACTTTCACCGCTATTTTCATACCTATTATTATGTTAATTTTAGACGAGTAATTGAGTATTTGACTAGGATTCATTTAAATGGTTGTATTTAGCTCTTTTAGTTTACTAGAGTAAGCAACAGATTTTATTGTAAGAGTAAGTTTGCACCTAAGTTGCTTTGTTTTATAATTCCAGAATTAAAAGAAAAATTTAGAAGAAGCCATATATATAAGCGGAAATGGTTCAGCATAAGTGAAAAATTTGAACAGAAGAAAATAATCATATAAAAATATATATCTTAGATTTCTAACGTGTGAAAATAAAAATATCTCAATAGTTTGAAAAACTAAATAATTGTAATAGGCAAAATAAAGTACTTGAATAATGTGATCAGAGATACATAATTTTTTAAGAAGACAATGATGTCCCTGTCATTATCACTTACTTCATAACACCTAGAAAATCAGGCAAAATTCTTTTACTATATGCATTTTATATTGCATAAGAATTTCTCATGGTCATAAAAGATCCACTTTTTATGGTCATCACTTGCTCATCAGTCATACCACTCAGGAATAATACTTAGTACGTAATGTTTTTTTATTACACTGTAATAAAATAGTTTGTCAGTGTGCACAACTCCATAGTATAGAGTTTCTCACTCCAATTATCATTCTTTCTTGGGCTTTTCTGATCTGAAACCCATGTTTTTGCCACCTCTCCTTGTCTAAATATCTAACATGGGAATTAGGATTACACAAAAAAACAGCCATTAGTTGTCACATGTAATTAACTTTCTTGAATTATGTGAATTGTGTCAATACATGTCAAGAGTGGTTCTTGATTGGAATCATTCATGGAAATGGAGGCTGCTAACCAAATGGGGTTTGTTCTAACACTGTTTCTTTCACTTTTTTCATTTGCTTACAGTGTCACAGACCCCAATGACTTGGCCATAATCAATGAGTTCAGAAAAAGTTTGGAGAATTCAGAGCTTTTGGATTGGCCAGTTAATGGTAATGACCCTTGTGGTCCTCCAGTTTGGCCTCATATAATTTGTACTGGTAATAAAATTCAACAGATTCAAGTTATGGGGTTGGGGTTAAAAGGTTCTTTGCCACAGAAATTTAATCAGTTGTCTAAACTGACAAATTTGGGGTTGCAAAGGAACCAATTCAGTGGAAAGTTACCATCTTTTAGTGGTTTGTCTGAATTAAGGTATGCTTTCTTGGATTTCAATCAGTTTGATAGTATTCCATCTGATTTCTTTAATGGACTTGTGAGCTTAGAAGTGTTGGCATTGGATGATAATCCTTTGAATGTCTCAACTGGTTGGTTTTTGCCTAGTGAATTGCAAGGTTCAGCTCAATTGACTAATTTGACTTTGGTTAACTGCAATTTAGCTGGTTTTTTACCTGAGTTTCTTGGAAATATGTCTTCTTTAGATGTACTTTTGTTGTCCAAGAATAGACTTTCGGGGCCTATTCCGAGTACTTTTAAGGACTCTGAGCTAAAAATGCTTTGGTTGAATGATCAGTTTGGTGATGGAATGAGTGGTTCAATTGATGTGATTTCAACAATGGGATCAATGACAAGTCTTTGGCTACATGGGAATCATTTTTCAGGTAAAATTCCAAAGGAGATTGGTAGTTTGACATATCTCCAGGATCTTAATGTCAATAGCAATGATCTTGTTGGTTTAATTCCTGAATCTTTAGCAAATATGACATTAGGCCATCTTGATTTGAATAATAATCATTTCATGGGTCCAATACCAAATTTTAAGGCTACAAATGTTAGTTATCGATCCAACTCTTTTTGTCAAACCGAAATAGGTGCACTTTGTAACACAGAGGTTATGGCACTTTTAGAATTTCTTGATGAGTTGAATTATCCATCTAAGCTTGTTGAATCATGGTCGGGAAATAATCCTTGCGACGGTCCGTGGTGGGGATTAAGCTGTGACGATAACCAAAAGGTTATTGTTATAAACTTGCCTAAGTCCAATCTTTCTGGAACCCTGAGTCCTTCAATTGCAAAATTAGATTCTCTTACTCATATATATCTTGGATCTAACAATATTTCTGGTTCTATTCCATCTAGTTGGACTAGCTTGGAACATTTGGTTCTGCTTGATTTAAGTAATAACAACCTTTCCCTTCCTCTGCCAAAATTTACTGCCCCCTTGAAACTTGATCTAAGTGGAAATTCACTATTGAACTCTAGTCCTCTTGTAGCAAGTCCTTCACAAAAGGATAATAATACATCCCCTGGTGCTTCACCCTATTCATCGACGAATAAGTCAAGCTCTTCTAAGTCTAAGTTAGTCATTTTTGTGGTTCCTATTGCAAGTTTTGCAATCTTAGTTTTTCTTGCTATTTCATTATATGTTTATGTCCGGAAGAGGAGTATGGATAGGCGCAAAGGTCCAACTTCTCTTGTCATTCATCCTAGAGATCCTTCTGATTCGGATGACATGGTCAAGATAGCAATAGCCGATGAAACTAAAGGAAGTCATTCGATATTGACTGAAAGTGGTTCTGCTAGCATACACAGTGGTAAATATCCTATGATTGAAGCTGGCAATTTGGTCATATCAGTTCAAGTACTTAGGAACGTAACCAAGAACTTTGCTCCAGAAAATGAACTTGGTCGTGGTGGTTTTGGAGTGGTTTATAAAGGAGAATTAGACGATGGGACAAAAATAGCTGTCAAAAGAATGGAGGCTGGAGTAATTAGCAGCAAAGCGTCGGATGAATTTCAAGCTGAAATTTCTGTTCTTTCAAAAGTCAGACATCGGAATTTAGTGTCTCTATTGGGATATTCAGCTGAAGGCAACGAAAGAATTCTTGTTTATGAATACATGCCACTAGGTGCTCTTAACGAGCATCTTTTCCACTGGAAAAGTCTGAATTTGGAGCCTCTATCTTGGAAGAGGAGGCTGAATATTGCCTTAGATGTTGCTAGAGGAATGGAGTATCTGCATACACTCGCTCATCAGTGCTTCGTACACAGAGATCTCAAGTCCTCAAATATCTTGCTGACTGAGGATTTCCGAGCAAAAGTATCAGACTTTGGACTTGTGAAACTTGCTCCTGATGGAGAGAAGAACTCTGTGGTAACCAGGCTAGCTGGAACTTTTGGATATCTCGCACCTGAATATGCTGGTAAGCATTGTTTTACTCCTATCCTTTTACTTCTAGGATGACCCAACATGTCGCAAAACAAGAAAGTGATGTTATATTTTTGTCTCTTGAATACTCTCTATTATCTCTTTGGTTTAAATAGTATTGTTGCCTTCCATTTTAACCAATTAGAGGTGGATAAATTAAGTTCCGTGGACGTGATTGAAGTGTCTGGTCTGTTCTACAGGCAAGAATATGCTGTGACTTCAATAGTATACTCAAGTCTTGGATGTGTTGAGATTTCTTTTGTTCATTTTCTCAGTGCACCTAAACACCAACAGATAGTAAGTTAAGATGCCAGTATCAATATCTGGACTATTTAGTCACAGTCTGCATGTTAAAAAGAGGGCAGCCCGATGCATGAAGCATCTTGCGTTCACGCATGGTTCAGGTAAAGGCCGCACCCCCAAGGGGTGTGATGTAGGCAGCTACCCTGATACAAGCATCAATGGTTGATTCCACGGCTCGAACCCGCGACCTATAGGTCACACGGAGATAACTTTATGTTGCTCGAAGGCCCACTCTGCATGCTATGTCACCTAATAAATATGTTCACTGCTAGGATGATTTTGAGTATCAATCTTATTTATTGTAATGATGGTACTGATATACTGTCTCTTTTCGTCTTCTTTTTGTCTTTTTCAGTCGAGGGTCTATCGGAAACAGCCCCTCTACCCCTCGGGGTAGGGGTAAGGTCTGCGTACACACTATCCTCCCTAGACCCCACTAGTGGGATTTCACTGGGTTGTTGTTGTTGTTGTTGAATCTTATTTATTGTAATGACTATTTTTGTAGACACCTAGGATTTACTTAATCTCATATTCTGAAGTATTTCTGCTGTTATCGTAACTCATTTTACTTTGCTGTTGTGATCCAGTTACTGGTAAAATCACCACAAAAGTTGATGTGTTTAGTTTCGGCGTGGTGCTAATGGAGTTGTTAACTGGTTGGATGGCGCTTGATGAGGATAGACCTAATGAAAGCCAATACTTAGTTGCATGGTTCTGGAACATCAAATCCTCTAAAGAGAAACTTATGGCAGCCGTCGATCCAGCTCTGGATGTAAAAGAGGAGGCCTTTGAGAGCAGCATCTACACCATTGCAGAACTTGCTGGTCACTGCACAGCAAGGGAGCCGGGACAACGGCCTGACATGTCCCATGCTGTGAATGTGCTCGCTCCACTTGTTGAGAAATGGAAGCCTCTTGAGGAAGATGAAGAGGACTACTGTGGTATTGATTACAGTCTTCCCCTCGATCAAATGGTAAAGGGATGGCAAGAAACAGAAGGAGAAGACGTCGACCTTGAAGACACTATCCCTGCTAGGCCTACTGGATTTGCAGAGTCCTTTAAATCAGCAGATGGTAGATAAAAGCAGGTACTACTGCACTACTGCTACTGTCGTTTAATAATCCTATCTGGTAAATATAGATAGATTTCTTGTTTGTTTTGCGTGAGATTTTGATCCTGTTATCTACGCTTTCTTTTCAATTTTGTTTGTAGAAATTTCAATCCAATGTATAGGCTTTGAGTTACTTTCTGTGGGATGTAGATATGAATCAGGTGATGAAGGAGAACTGTTTATCAGCTGTGTTCCTCACTCCGTTAATTATTTCCTATTCCTATCTGAGGAAAATATATTCATTGTTCCTACTTCGACATGAATAGATCAGAAGATCTTCATTTCCAATATGAAGGTTATGATTTTTGTTTTCCGGCATTTGACACAGTCTATAGGAAATAATCTCTCTGCCCTTCTAGGACAGGGATAAGGTCTGCGACTCTGGGTACACACAAATTACTGGGTTTTTTTTTTGTTGTTGTTGTTGTTGTTGACACAGGAAGTCAGTTGAAGTAACTTGGTATAAATTTTTTTAACTGACATCTCTTTACGGAATTGCAACAAAAAGAAATGCCTTATTACAAGTAAATGATCTGGACCTGACTATAAACTTCTTATATGATCAAGTGCTTTCTACGTCTGTCTCAGATCTTATAATTGGCATGTATCTACATAAATATTTGGAGTTACACAGGAGCTACATACCCCATTCCGTCTCCACTGAATGTGTTTAATTGTGCTGTTGAGGTTTTGGTCCAAGATAAGACATTTATTATGGGTGGAAACAGCCTCTTGCTGAAATGCAGGGTAAGGCTGCGTACTATAGACCCTTGTGGTCGGTCCGGCCCTTCGCTGAACCCCGCGCATAGCGGGAGCTTAGTGCCGGGCTGCCCTTTTTATGGCTTGTCAATTTGAACTACATCAAAGCTCTCGTTCAAACTTCATATACGAGAATTCTAAACAAGAATTCGAGACTTGAAATGAATCCAAATGTAGGTTCTTTCTCAGGGCGTGAGGAATAGCACAGAAAAGCCAGCCTGGAATGGGATTTCAACATAAAAAGCGGTGAATGAGCTATAATGGCTGGGAAAGTGGGTAAGCAGTGGCGTAGCCACACTATGCCAAGGGTGGTCAAGCGAAAATTATACAATACTACTTTATATGGCTATATATTATATTATGAACATATTTAACACAGTTTAGCAAGGCAATCTGGTGGCCTAGGGTGTTCAAAGGGAGGTTGTTGTTCTTGGGTCGAATCCTTGTCTAAATTTTTTTATTTGCTCATTTTGATTGCTAAAACTAAACAAAGACCACCATATTTAGTCTGTTTAGCCTTTTTTTCAATCTAAAAATTTTCCTAATAAATAACGTTTAAAGCTTATAATTGTGTAAAAACAAACAATCTATCTATATCTATATCTATATTATTATATCTATATTATAAATATAGATATATTATTATTCTATCTATATCTATATCTATCTATATTATAATTTATGCAAAATTTTGAACGACTAAAATATCCCTGAAACATTGATCGATTTTTATGCCCTTAAATATTTGTATAATTTAAGGATCTAATAGTAAATTACCTAGTGATGGAATTCTTTTTCGATTAAACTATACATATACCCGACCCTACAACGTTGGTCCTACTTGAATTAGAAAAGTGCGGCCATAATTTTCTTTCAAAGAATTGTTGTTCTTAATTACACTTCTTTTATAACAAGGAATTTTCTAAAATATAGGCACGTACTAAAAGAAAATTTTAGTACTACATTCTAAAAACATCTATAACATTTTACAAAGTTGAAAATTCTTACTAAATTAAGTTAGTATCTTTTACCTAAATATTAGGATCTACTACCTAATTCAAATTAATTGAGTTATTTTTAAAATATTAAATAATAAGAAAATAATTAAACAATAATTTTTTAAAATATAAAATCTAATTTTAAAGGATAAAAAATAGGGGCAAGTTTATATGAATACTTTTCTTTTACATGATAATAAAATGGTTTTAATAATACATATGAGATTGGCTCTTTAATTTATTAATTCTTACTTAAGTATGACTAATTGATTCATTTGCAAATTTTTCAAACAAAGTCGATTGATGTTAGATTAGATTTCCTAGAACAAATTCATCCAAGTCTCCTATGTATTGAAGTTTAACAAATCTTTTCGTTGATTGGTTTATTTTCATTAGATGCTCGTGTGCCATGAATTATTTTTAATTCAAGATTTACATCAATTTATATTCAAATAAAAAGCAAAATACTTTAGAATAATATTATTTATGTGAGGATTGGTTAAAAACAATTAATCATGGACTTGATTTATAAAAACATGTGTAGGATTAATATTTTATTGCTTTAAATATGATTAAGTGGTAATAATTTTTTCGAGTTATATCTGACATAATTTAAATTCGACATAACTTTATAAATAATAGATATAACCCTCATAAATATGTGATCACGCCCAACTATGCCTTATAAAAAGGACTCTGCGGACGTTGCAAATATAACCCGAGTATTACGCCCAGGGTCGAATCCACAGAGAGTTAACCTATCAACCGCTATCTTCAGACCCACTAAGTCTTCAGAACCAGCTTCTCAAATATTCAAATTCTCAGTTGAGTGTTCTTTAACAACTAGCTTGCAAGTAACTAAATGGCTGTAACTAAATTAATAAGGTTGTAAACAATTATGAGAAAAAGCTAAGGCAATGATTTCCCCTATTGATGGAATCCCTTCTGTTTATGCTCATACAAATTTACCCACACATCTCTATCAATCATGAACGCTAATCTTACCGCAATTCTCTCCCGAGTAATCACAGTAATCTACTATTGCACTCTCCCGAGATACACTAGCTTACTTTATTTAGCACAATTCACTTAGATTACACCCAAGGCTTCGATATCCCTAATCCCGCCTTTAAACCCGCAATTATAGATTCCTCTAATAATTTAGGAGTGGTGTTGTTCAACAATACCCTAAATATGCACTCTTTTCCAAGTTATGCACACTAAATAGGCACATCTAATTGAGGATCCTGTCAATTAACTACAACGAACACGAAGTTGAACAAATAAAGATTAAACTAGCAATTTGTATTCACATAAACAAGAAGTTCATCACCCAATAGGGTCCATCAAAGCCTTAGACAAGGAATTTAGCTACTCATGGCTATGGGAAAATAAACTAAGATTGAATTCATCATAAAATCAAAAGAAAAGAAGAAAGATGTTTAGAGTATTTTCTCACAATCGTTTTCCTTGCTAAGAAACCTAAAAAAATCAATACATGCCTCTCTTGGGCGAAGTCTAATGTTTTAAATAGGGTTTAGGTCTAAAAATTCCGTAATTGACACTTTGGTCCCTGAAGTTTACTGCGCCTGCCGCGGTTGCGGTAGAACCGCGGCCAAACACCCTCGCGGATTCTCAATCTTCTGCAGCTGCTTCCCACCGCGGTTCTGCCGCGGTCGCGGTGGAACCGCGGTGGATCCAATTCTCTGAATCTTCGGCCTGTTTTGCACGGGTCACTTGGGAAATTTCACAGTTGGCCTCTTTTTCATCACTTTTGACTCCAAAACTGCTCCTTAGCCTTCCTTATACATATATCACCTACAAATCATGAAAAGCACTAATAAGAGCATTTTGTCATCACTTTTAACATTAAAACTACACAAGAAGGTGATTATTTAAGGTGTGATTATAGTCAAATTCACCTATTATCAACACCCCACACTTAAATCTTTGCTCGTCCTCGAGCAACTAAACCACACTTCTAGGCCTAACCGCTCAATGCATTGCCCCAATTTATGTCACACCTGCTATTATCAATGATCGACCCAAGCAGTGCACAATCATATCTCAAATGCAGACTCTCATGCCAAGACACACTTGTGCTCACTCTAATTACTCTAACAGAAGTGAAGACTCACTTTTTCTTCCTGAGTCACATGCCCTCACATAAACAAAATTTGAGAGAAGTTCCACACACATAAAATTCAACAATAAGGAACCATATATAGAAAGAATTCACTCACTCTCAGCAAAGAGCATTCACATGCCACACAGACACACCATAAGCTTGCCCCTAGTGTAATACTCTACTAATCGAGCCATTCAGTCAAAGATCAAGAGGTCTTTATAGGTTGTAATGTAGGCTAAGGGACGGGTAGGATATATTTGGATATAGTGACTAACCTCCCTAAGCACTTTTAATACACACTTCTTTTTATTTCACCTTTATGCTCAACCCAATCATTACTCCACATTTTGTTTCACTTGTGACCCCCACTTTTCGTTAGGTACAACTGGCTTCTTCTTTTTTTTTTTCTTTTTCTAGTTCTCTCCCACCCCACACTTTGACTTTTGTATATTCTTTAGTGATTAAGTGCTTCTAGGAGGTAAGGGTTCAAACAATGAGCTTATTCAAACACAACGATTTAGATTATTATAGGGTTATCAAAGAACAGGCTTCAGGCTCAAAGGGTTAACTATGGTAATATGCACAGGTGGATTCTCAAGTATAAAGGGTTGCACAAAGAAATGCCTCAATCATCTCTAAAATTAAACGACTTCTATTTCGCTTTGCAAACACACAGGGCAAGTTCTAGGTATCATATGCAAGCATAAGATGCAAGTAACAACTCGCACACACTTGGCATGTAACTCATTCCGAATCAGTTCATCAACACAGTCATACGAGTGTTCAAGCCAGACAAGATGTGCAAAATTAAGGCATATATTATGAGTCTACAACAAGCCTAGACGTCACACTCTTAGTTCGTTTTCTTTGCAAGTGTGCACATTTGGGGTTACATTCTGACCTTCACCCATCTAATCCTAAAACTATAAAAGAAAAATCTACCTAACCCGGTTCAAGAAAAACCCTTGGAAAAGAACCGTGGTCAAAAGAAAAACCAAGGGGGAGGTACTACACTACCTAAAAGAAGAAAATAAAATAAAAAAAATTCTACATGGACTACTTCCCTCAAGAGTACTGTCCACATAGTCCGTCATCAGAAAGAGTCCTCTACAAGTTTTTGTGTTTTTTTTTTTATATATATCTGACTTTGACCCTCAAGAGACCCGTCAACAAGTGTCCGTCGTTGGGCCAAGTCAGCTACTCCTAATATAACACACTCACATATGTACCACATCTAATGCTACAACACAACAACAGCTATATACATGTCAATACACAGTTAGAGCAAGTCTTCCACCCCACACTTAAAATCATGGCATGTCCCCATGTCATATCAATAAAGTAAAGAGCAGAAGGGTGAGAAGACTTCCCTGAGACTCAATCCGAGTCGGAGACGGTGCTGGGGTCTACATGGCAGGCCCTCCCC